TTTTTTATCATATTTAGGGTTCGTTTTGGGGGAATACAGTCACATTACTTATTTGTGGTCCAGATCCCCATATAAAGCCTTGGTGGTCCTCTAGAATAGACCTTCCCTCGTCTTTTCCGACATTTGCGCTCGCATAATCGGCATCATCTCTTTTACTATCGCGTTGTCATCGAGCGATTAATCACTGTAAACCCGGCGTGCGATGGTGGATTGGGTCAATCTTCCAAGTGATATAGCCTGATTCCCACCATCCACGAGTTGAGTCTGAAAGTTTTAAAACAATACAGCCTTCCGGATACTAGGTAGTTCTTCATACACGCGCACTCCCTCGGGGGTTTCCGCTCCAGCTCTATCCATCCCAATGTTTAACTGTGATCTTGTAATAAACAACGCAAGAATTTTCTGATTATTATAACTAGCTAAACGCAAAAAAAATTTCCCATTTAAGTGCGGATACGATAAGTAAAATACGCAAAGAAAAAAGAAGCTAAGCGACTTCAAAAGCAGGAAATCGAGCATTCGACCCAAATGCACCTCAACATTTTCCTTTCTCTCCATATTTTTACTAGAAAAGTTGACAATTCAATATATCGTTGTGCGGACATTTTATTTACCTGTATATCATTTCAACGTTTGTCTAACACGTTTGTATATTTTGTTGGTGTACGAGTGATTTGAAGGGTTATTTGACCTTGCCCAATTCTCGAAAATATCACAAAGTTTTTTGTTTTTATTTGCGTTTACAAAGTGCCGTAGCCAGCCTCAGCCTCAACTAAACCATACGAGAGACTCTCCTCGTTATTTTAAAAGAAAACAGTCCCGATGTCGCATCGCGAAGGAGGTGCCAGACGCAAACTGTAAAATCGCATCCTTGCCCAACGTCGAGAGCAGAGGCAGACTTTCCAGGGCCTTCATCCCCAAACATGAAAGTCCAGGGACGACGGTGGTGCTGGCTTTAATAACCTCCATGGCGGCAATCATGGGCCCCGTGTGGGCGATCATCTCCCCTGCAAAAACCTGCCCGACTGTGATGACGCTGCCGATATCCTGCCCGATCCGGAGAACCCTTTCCAACGTTTCCGTTAACGCACAGACGTCGTAGAGGCCCAAATTAACCCCCTGCCCCGCAAAGGGATGAATGCTGTGGGCGGCATCCCCCAACAACAACGCCCTCGGCGCGTAGGGCGTCCGGGTGAAGCTCAACGTGAGCGGAAACGACCCCTGGACACGACGTTTTTCCCCGTTGAAAATCCCCTCCGGGATTTCCAAAATCTCCGGAATGTCGTCTGGGGCGAAGTCATGCAGGCGGCGGTTTAATTCCCGCACCAACTCCTCTTGGGAGGCTTCCCGCAGCTGCTTTGCATGCGCCGGGGTGGTGGAGAAGATAATATTCGCCGAATCCTTCGCGGTTGGCAGAAATGCCACTATCTTTCCATCTCGAAAAAAGTTCTGAAAACTGCAAACGTTCCCATCGACGACACTCGCAATACGCGCTTCGCAGACAAACGCCATTTCGCCGTAGTCCTGCTGAAAAGCGCGCGTGTGAAGGGCTCCCCGAAGGGCGCTGACTTTGCCTTCGCATCCCAACAGCAGCTTGAACTTCACTTCATCGGGGAGGTTGTCGGGGTTCTTGCCGGTGATCACGGCCCTTCCAAGCGGGCCCGCCTCCACCCCCTTCGGGGGTAATTGAATGTTTGTAAGAGTCGATTCAAAGACGGTGGCGTCCTGATTCGTGCGGAGTTCCGCATTGTCCTTCATCAAATCGTGCGCGCGTGCCAACATGGCACTTTGCAGTTCCGCATTGTAGCATATAAAACCCACCGGTTTGCGCAGATCAGTAAAGTCCAAAAGCGGTTGGGTCGTCGCCTTGCGGCCAAAAATACTGCCCATAAAAAACAACCGCGAACGTTCATTTTGGCCCAAAAGAGGATCGCTCACCTGCTCATGGCGGACTGAAATACGGTAATAGGAGTGTTTGGTCTTTAGCCTTGACCAGACATCCAAATTTTCCACAATTTTGCTGGATACCGGGGTGAGGCTGACGGTGCGCAGCCTGTGCATCATGTTCGCCGAGTCGAACTCGATCTGCTTCCCGGCGTCCACCAACATGAGCCTATTTAGCAAAGAAGGGGAACCGTCCTTGCCCTCCATCTTCCGCCGTAAATACAAAAGGGAGGTTAACATGGTGGCCCCGACCATCCCACCGCCAGAAACAATTACATCATACACTAGCTTAGACATGAGCCCGTTAATCAATATAAAACTTCTTGTGTTTTGTTATCTAATCGGTGTTCCCTATAGGATAAATAAGAGAGTGGGAAGAGAAAGCCATACGCCCCATGATGTACCATGGAATGGTAAAATAAACGTGAGGATGCACAAACACACGGGGTTTATATTGTTTAATCGATTCGTCCTACAGCCAAAGGAATGTGAAGCCACACGTCAACATCGAGAAAAGGAATTAATTGGTGGAAGGGGTGCACCTTCCACATGTAAAAACGAGGCCTTCGATGCCCTAGATTTTCACAGAACTTACGCAGAGGAGCCCAATCTAGACCCTTTAAAGTCAAACTTGGGGAAAAGACAAGCGCCACCATCTTTGGCAGGGTCTTCCACCAGATAACGATTGGTATGACGAGAGGCTGTGTCGAGCACTTCATCATAAAAAACTAAAGCAGAGAATGATAAACACACAAGTAAACCCAGACGATTTATTTATTGCCTCACCTTCTTGTTCTTTTCATTTAGGAAAAAAACATTGGATACACAAATAAAACAAGACCAAGAGACTAAGCCACACACCATTAGATGGTAGTTTCCGCTCTGCGTATAATGTATGTGAAGGTATCGAAAGCATCCCGAGCAGGATGAATTCTCCAGCTGACAGACCCCATTCAACCTGGGATTCGAGACAAAAAGTGCCCTCCCCACAGCCTTCCAGTGTCCCGTCGTGCCGCTAGGTTGGGTGTAAACTGAAAATTCAACGCTAGGTCCCACATAAAGTATCTGCCCTTCATCCATTTTGCTCGAAAAGCCCCTCTCCCATCGAACATCATTGGGCTTTGAAATCACAATTCGGTGAATAAACAAGAGGATATTTTCATTTCCATACCAGCGCTGAGTTCCGTGTTTAAACAGGAATCATTGCTGGTGTCGCGAAGTGACAAGTACCCCAGCAATTGGGGAAGCGTTATCGTGGAACGTGCGCGCATGAAAGACGCATCAATTGACCCTCCGTTTAATGCCTTTCACACGCTCCCACTAGGATAAATACATTTACTTATACGCTGGGTTTATTGTCCCTGGATTGACTCCCCACACGGGTGCGATCACCGCTTTTTTTAGCCCGGATGCCCAGACCATCATTCATATTGTCGTCCTCATAAATATTAGAGACGCGCACTGGATAAGGCGGCATTACTGCTTTGACACCCTAACAAAGTTGAGGTTTGCTTTTAGTTGGAGCGGAGGCCAAATCAAAGGAGCCATCCTGGAGCATTGAGAGAAGGTCGCGATTCCACGCATCGCCCTGCTGTGGTCGGGGGTAATTCTTGGGAAGACGTTGCTCAACAGCGGAGTTGAAAAGGGAAAGCGACTGAGCGGTAATGATAACAGGCGACAGCAGGGTGTATATCCCCTTGAAAAAGTACACCAAGGGCACGTAAAGCCAACCAGCTAAAGAGAGGGTGAGGTTCTTGGGTTCTCGAACGGTCGTACGCTCCGGACCGCGGCGGCCCGATTCCCGCACAAAGAGGCGCAATTGCTCTGTGTGGTTGGTCACGATGCCCCCAAGCCGTTCGAGGTTGACCAGAATGAGCTCAAGCTGATTCTGGGCGTGGGCCAGGTCGACCTGACTCTTCTCAAATCGTCCCTCCAGTCGAGAAATGTGGGAATGGAGGGCTCCCACGCCTGTTAGTTGACGCTCGATAGTTTTTTCGATCTGCCTAAACCGTCGGTTGAGGTTTTCAATGGATAAACGAGGGCTTTTCACTCCAGAAGCTGCTTCGGTCCCTACATTCACAGCACTTGTCGCAAAGGGAGGCACTAACCCTTTCGATGAGGTCATGGACACGCCACCAAAAGTAAGAACTGCGAAAAAGAGTGAAAAATCTGAAATAGCTGTGTGTGAAAAAAAAGAATACACTTCGGAAGCAAACGAGTAGTGTGTGCTTTTGTAAAACAGTGGTTTGCTCCAGCTCCCTGAATCTTGAGGAGAACATTTCCTTGCTACTCAAAGCTTCCACACTAACAAATATAAATTGCTTTGAACGCGGTATAGTCTTCTCCTAAGAATTCCACTCCAAGAGAACAACACGATAATAAAACTTATAGTCATCAAGGCCTATCAATAATCTTCGTCCATCAAAAGCTGCGTCACAGGTGTAAATTGATTTGGTGTGCTGGACGTTGCAGTAGCAGCTGGAGCCACACCGTCAAGGGTGACATCAACGTCGTCCTCAGCATCTGACAGAAGTAGCTTATGTCCTGAGTCCTTCGCCCATGCGGGCTCCACCACAGCTGAGGGCTGCTGTTCCTGGGCTTGTGAAGGACGAACCCCCGGTGTTAGCGTCCCTCCAATGTTCTCCCAATCGATTTCCTCGTCATTTTCAGCATCGTGCATGCTGCTGACCGGCTGCGCGATCTGACCCCTTCCCGGCGTCGATACGCGGTGTAGAATTGGGTCGTAAAGAGAGGAGGGGGCTACAGGTTTGCGTGCAGCCGTCTCGAGGAAACGCCTGCCCTCTGCGGAAAGTCGTTCATAAAAGGGGTCTGGTTTCGCCAAAACCCCTTTGAGGCGGTGTGCGCTTTGTTCATGTTGGATTCGTGTGTGGTCGCGAACGCCGCTGTCGTCGGACTTCTCACTTTCAGATTCAGTCTCATCACTGCTGCTCCCATCACTTGAAGAGGAATCGGATCGCTGACGTTTGCCACGCCCCCGACGTCCCTTGGGAGCGTTCCGCTCGGATGACCCAGAGCTAATCTCGGAATTAGATGTGTAGTGGGGAGCGAAGCCGTCGTCCTCGCTTTCGTCGTCGTCATTGATAAAGTTGCTGTCGTCCGCCTGCGATTCCATAGGGTTCATCAGCGTTTCGCCGAGTTTTTCACCGGCCGGGAAGACCGTCCGCTCGACGATCCGCGCCGCATGCGTCGCCGCGGCGAGTTCGACCGCGTCGACGATGCGATTATAGCGTAGGCGGTTATAACGACTATTAATCTGCCAATATCGTTGTTGGTTTAAGGCAGGCCTCTTCGCTGTCTCACCTAATGTTATGTGCCGAGCGTGGTACTTCTCGTTCTGAAGCTGGTTGAAATGATTGTAGAAGCTGCACAAAACATCCCGCAGACGGTAGTCCCGCGCGGAGACGCTTTTCACGCTGTGGTGCCGACTCATGTGCGCTTTCCACAGTGCGGCCGTACGAAAGACGACCAAGATCAGCGCGGTGTCGTGGTCCCTTTCGTCGCCTGGCGTATCATTCGTCTGCATGTGCATGAGCACATCCAGAGGATCAATCACGGGCGTCATGCCGTTGTCGATATACTCGATACGCTTCCCCTCAGAACTCATGAAGGGAATATAGTGCGTGTTCACGTAGTACTCGAAACAGTCTGGGCACACGTACACCTCTGCGGGGCTCAGGGAGTAAAATTCGTCGACAATTTGTTCAAAGTATACGTGTCGATGAATCACGGCGCTGCCAAACTCTTCATCAAATTCTACTGATGGAACGAGTACACCACGGGCTTCAAACTGGAACTTTTTACCCTCCATTGCTTCAATTTTCTCCCTCAACTGTTTCTCCATCGGCTCGCGGAAGTGTGGTGGCTGCATGAAACCACCCTTGTCCACCGCAATCCGGATGAGTGTGTCCACGTTGTAAAATAGGCGTAATGACCCATCCGGACTTACTACTTCGAGATACTTGTTTGGGATAAGTGGCTCAGAGGTAACAGCGTCGATTTTTTCATCAGCGGCAGATTCGAGATTCAGCTCACCCGGTTGAGCCTCCTTCTGGCGTGGCAACTTTCTTTTCAGATTTGGGGGCATCTGCGGTTGACACTATCACAACGTCAAGATCGATAAAGGAAAAAAGGCCAGGGTTGTATAGCTTAGATGACAAAAGGTGTATCCCTACACAATGCAAATTTAAAAAAGACACGGGAAAAGGGGAGCGACATTAATGAATACAAGCCATAACAACATCACAACGGATAAACTACGCTTTCCTGGTTATTATCCACCTGTACAAAAAAACACATATGCATCCTGAACCGGTTCTGATTTTTCTAAGCATCTAATCGACTAGAATCCTACACCAAAGAAAACGAAAAAGAAAAGGTTAAAAACCAAAGCAGAGTACCAACACGAGTACAATCAATACAAAAGTGGCTACATGCCAATGCATGAAAAGCAGTAGGACTCGAGACAGGTAGCTTGCACGGGAACTTCTCCCCGGTAACTAAGTGCTTTGCTTTCCACTGATGCAGTCCCATGAGATGTAGCGATGTTATGATGCACCTTCATCGCATTGCCATGTCCTTCAGTCGATACACCCGTTCCCTCCGTCTGACTCCTAATGACATCTACAAATTTGCTCGGGGTCTCACACAGGTTTGAATTATCCTCTCCCTCTGTTGAGGCTATAGATTCATTAGAAGAAATTGAAGTCCCATTAGAGACCACTTCGTTTTCGTCAAGCAGTTCCGTGTCGAAGGACGAATTCACCACAGCATATTCATTGATAAGTTGGACCAACTCTCCCACTGGCATGGGCACATTAGAACACATTTCATCTTCCATTTTTCTAACGACAAAGTAAAATGCAGACACCTTTTCCCTTTGTAGTTCCCTACAAAAATAGGTAGAACTGGGAAACAAATCTAAACAGTAAGAGATAATAAACACATAAGTAAATAAATGCTTCAACGTATATCGCACTTTTGTTCATATCTGAAAATATGCAAAACACCTCTTAAAATCTAAGTATTGGCCCAAGATAAATCAGACCTAGACACAGAAGACTCATAATTTTTTGACGATACGAAAGTGTATATACTCAAATCTAAACTGTTGCATCCCTTCCGATTAGTCGTAAAGCTGAGTAAAGCTGTCATTTCCTGAACTCCACCATGCCCATTTTGACCATAATGTTGGAAGTATAAAACCAGTGACACGTTAGAGCCCTTTTTGACCCAGAAGTAAAGAACAAGGTAAACATAATAATCTGATGTAGGAATACATAACACAGAAAGAAACGCCGCAACAGAGGTTCGACGCGGCCCAGGTTACGTTCCGCAGGACATTCAGCGGCTGCGAAGGGTCCAGTAAAAGCCGCAGCAGTGCCGGCATCGCGCCGTTGGCGAGGGCCACATCCCGGCACGAGGCCCCTTCCCCAGCAAGGTTTCCAATCGCCCATGCCGACTGATCACGGCAATCTGCATCCTGAGAGCCCAGCAGATTCACGAACTTCGGCACCGCATTGCAGTGGATCAACATCATCGTGTTCTCGGAGGTTCCTGCAGCAATGTTAGTAAGTGCCCATGCGGCCTC